ATTTAAAAAAAAAAAAAAAAAACCTGCTATGGATCCAAATTTCTTTCATAATTCATATTGCTCAAAAAATGACAACAGAGAACAAAACTGCACTCACTTTTGGATGATATTTTCATGTTATCCTTTGTTATTTTTATTGAGATATTGGCTATTTCATTGTGATTTCTTTTAGAAAGTAATTTTTCATATCAAGTCCATCATTGTTCATTGCTTTTAAATAGAAATCCAAGAACAAAAACCATAGAATTCATGTAATGTTCTCATAAAATGAAAAATAAAAATGATTTTGAGAAAGTCACTACATAAAATTTCTTTTTTTCTGTATTTTATTAGACAAAATTGACTAGGAGGGTTTTCAAAGACTAAGATACACACGGAAAAAAAGATATAGGTTCACAATCAATCTAGATAACTTCTAAAACCGTTTAAAGTCTAAATAAGAGATAAATAGGACAAGGTTAGGAAAAACTAAATGTATTTAAAAAGATATCAAACAAAAAAGCACAAGTCTATGGTTAAGCTATTATGATGACTTACTTCTAAAAGATTTCTTATGGGCTGAGGCATGGATACACAGATACATAGACACTCATGTGTGAAATGCATCCAACTGCATATTTATTGCTTTTTATTTCCCAAATCATAATGAGTGGTGTCTTGGCAATGAAATACCTTGACTTTTTTACATAACATGTCCTTTCTCATCACTGTTTAATATTTCTTTAGTGGCTGCATGCTGCGTATAATCCTATTATATGGACTACCATAATTTTTTATTTAACTAATTTTCTATGAACTTTTGACACTTAGATTGTTTCTATGTTTTTAAATTGAAAATTCATGCACTACTAATTCATTTCTACAGCACACAATGAGAATTTTAAAGTATATTTATCAAGTTATATGTCCATCACCATTTTTAGGCAAAGAATGTTTTCATAATTAAAAAAAACTATGTACCCCTAAGCACTCACAATAGCCCATGACTCCTAGCTTCTGGCAAAACTAGTGTGTTTTCTATCTGTATGAGTTTGTCCATTCTGGCCATTTTATAAAAGAGAATCATATAGTATATGATCTAATTTTTCTGTCTTCTTACAATAAAAACATAATATATTCAAAGTTCATGATAGCATCCTATATACCAGCAGTTTGTTTCTTTTTATATGTTGCTGTAGTAGAATACAATCCTAAAATATATTATCTTAATATTTAAATTTCTAAATTTTTAAAAAAAATTTATTTGTGTGTGTGTGTGTGTGTGTGTGTGTGTGTGGGAAATGCCCATGCCATAGCACACAAATGGAGAACTGAGGACAACTTGTGGAAGTCAATTTTCTCCTGTCATGTGGATTCTGGGGCTCAAACCCAGGTTGTCAGGCTGGTGACAAGTGCCTTTACCCAAAGAGCCATTTCACCAGCCCTATTTATTTTATTTTATTTTTTATCTTATTTTATTTTTTAAGACATGATCTGACCATGTAGCTCTGTCTGGCCCAGAACTTACTATGTAGACCAGACTGACCTTGAGCTCACAGAAATTGCACCTGCCTCTACCTCCCCAGGCTGAAATAAAAGGAGTGGGTCACCTAGACACAAATGATTTTAATGTTTATAAAAGTTAAATAATTTTGTCTTTTAAACATTAGAATAAACTGTTATGGGAATAGATTTGAAAGGTTTCATTTTACTCTCTAATAATGTGTAACTTAAATATTCACAGTGATTTAACATCATGAATGTTTAAAACCAAGAAATTGTTTTAAGTAATACTTTTCCCATCTCATTAGCTAAGAAATCTTCAAAGCAAACTTTTCTTAAAAGAAACTTCGTTGCAAGAGATGAAGACTGAATTAGAAAATTACAAAGAAAATAATGCCCCACAGTCGCTACAGATAATGTCCCTGAGAGATGATGTCAAGGACCTTCATGAGCTTACTGCTTCTCTAATGAAAATTAACATTTTGAAAAATCTTAATCAGAGTCTTGAAAGAGGCAACTCAGATCTAATTGAACGAGTTATTGAACTAGAAAACTGTCTAAGGTAAGGGAATTTTCTGGTTTTTCAAACAACTCTTTTATCTTATGTTTTCCAGTAGTATATGAACCCCATACTCCCAATTAATCAGAGAATTAAAATCTAGTAGAATACTATTTAGTACCTGACTCAATATTATTACAAAAAAAATATACTTGGGGGTCTTGGAGATAGCTCAGTTGGTAAAGCACTTGCTTTGTGAGCATGAAGTCCTGAGTTTGATCCTCAGCACTGACGTAAATATGGTGACTCGTGTTGGTAATCCCAGCACTGAGGAAGCAAAGACAGACAGGTTCCTGGGGGCTTACTGGCCAGCCAGCCACCTAAAGGATGATCCCCAGCTCCCCAATGGAAGGCTCCTGAGGAATGACACTTGATGTTGATCCCTTGCCTACACATGTATTATGCACATGTATACATACATGCTCATACACAGGTTCCCACGTAGACATGCCTACGCACACACACAAACATTTTGTGCTGAGTTATGTCACATAATAATGCAAGGCTCACCCTGTTGAAGCCTACACAGTGTAGCACTTTGTCAATCATCACCTCTGTCTAGTTTAGAACATTTTCATCATGCCCACAGGAGATCCCATGTCCATGAGCAGTCACCCCCCCATGCTATGCTTCTCCAGCTCCTGAAAACCACTAATCCTCTGTCTCTATAGATGCTCCCTTTTTGAACAGTTCATGTTACTATAACCATAAAAAGCATGTGGCCTCTAATTTCTTTCACTGAACTAAGACATTTTCAAGGCTCGTCCCTGTTGTAGCATGAATTGACACTTCAGCTCCTTTTATGACTGGATTGTATGTATATATCACATTTTGTTTATTAAATTTTTAGGACATCTGGGTTGTTTACAGGTTTTTTGCTTTATAAATTATAAACACATTTGGTATATACATTTATAAACCATTGTACAGACCTTTATATGAGCATGTGTTTCTTTTCTCCTGTGTATATGCAATAAGAGCAAAATTCTTGGTGTTAACTTTAATTCTTTAATGTCACTTTTTTGCCTTGTTTGTTTTGAAAAGGGTCTCATGTAGCTCAGATTGGTCTCAAACTCTCTATGTGGCCGAGTCTGCCCTTGAACTCCACCTTCCAAGTGCTAGGATTACAGGTGTGCACCACCACACTTAGCTTCTTTGAAGTTACTTTTAAGAAATTTCCATGACTGGGTGTAGTGGTACATGCCTTTAATCCCAGCTTTAATCACAGCAATAGAGGCCAGCCTGGTCTAGATAGCAAGTTCCAGGCTAGCTGGGGCTATAGGGAGACCCTGTCTGAAAAGGACCAAAAAAATTTTTTTGTTGTTTTATTTTTTAAAATTCCAGGCTGTTTTCTAATAAAGTCAGCTGCATCTTTTACAGTCTCAGCAGCAATGTGTGTGAGGGTTACATTGTCCCCGTATCTTCGCTAGTACTTACTGCCTTTTTTAGTATAGTGGTTATAATTATAGTGAATGTGAAGTCGTTTCTCACTGTGACTTTAGTTTGCATTTCCCTAATGACTACAGATGCTGAGCCTCTTCATATGCTTATTTGGTCATTTGCCTATCTTCTTTGTAGAAATTATTTTTCATTTATTTGGTTTTTTGTTTGTTGTGTTTCGTTTGGTTTTTGTAGAAACAAGGTCTCATTATGTAGCCCCAGCTGGCCTGGAACTTGCTAACTTGCTAAGTTTGTTGAACTCACAGAGATCTGCCTTCCTCTGCCTCCTGAGTGCTGGGATCAAAGGCTTGTAGCATCATGCCATTTGTTTGTTTGCTTTTAGCCCTGACTGTACTAGAACCTGCTATATAGCCCAGACTGACCTTGAACTTGAGGTGATTCTTCTGCCTCTGCCTCCTGAGTTCTGGGAAAACAGGTATGTGCTACCACACCTAGCCCCTTTGCCCATTTTAAATTTTATTATTTGTCCTTTTATTTTTATTTATTTATTATTTTATTTATTTATTTATTTATTTATTTAGTCTTTTTGAGACAGGGTCTCCCTGTATCCCCAGCTGTCCTAGAACTCACTATGTAGACCAGGCTGGCCTCAAACTCACAAAGATCTGCCTGCCTCTGCCTCCCAAGTGCTGGGATTAAAGGCGTGCACCACCATGCCCAGCTTATTTTTATTTTTGAATTTTAAATATTTATGTTTTACGGATATTGGACCCTTATTAGATATATAATTTGAAAGTATTTTCTCCCAACATATGGGTTATCTATTTTTGAAACAGTATCTTGCTAATGTTGCCCAGAGTGGCCTTGAACTTATGGGCTTAAACAGTCCTCAGTCTCCTAACTGGAACTATAGGCATGTACCTCGCTTCTTTATAAATCTTTTTTTTCCCCTTAGTACTGAGTATCAGATCCAGGGCTTAGAACATGCTAGGCAGTCTCTTTACCACTGGGCTACATCCCCAAGCCTTTCTTCACTTCTTATTTTTAGTTGTGTGTCACTGTGTGGGCATGTGCCCATGAATACAAGTGCACACAGAAAAAAGGGGGTACCCTGGATACCCTGGGTATCCAGATACCCTGGAACTGGCGTTACAGGCAATTGTGAGTCACCTGACATGGGTGCTGGGACAGAACTGGGTCCTCTGCAGGAGCAGCAAGTGCTCTTAACCATGAGGCCTTCTCTCCAGACCCTTCACTTAATTTTTTTTTTTGATTTCTTAATTTTTAAAATTTTATGTGTATGAGTGTTTTGCCTACATGTATGTAAG